CACAAGATACTAAAATACTTCAGGAACTATCTGTCCTTTGGCACAGGACTTGCAGATCAGAGGCATTTTGTTTCATGGGTCTCTACGGCATAATAATTAAACCTTAAAATGTAACTTTGGCTCTTACTCCTGTCTCAAAACACTCACACACACACACACACACACACAGAGAGAGAGAGAGAGAGAGACAGACAGACAGACAGAGAGACAGAGAGACAGAGAGACAGAGAGACAGAGAGAGAGAGAGAGAGAATGGTCAATTCCAGGAAGGCTGGAAGCATGACAGTCCTAGGAAGGGTGGCTTAAGTTTCTGATGGAGCTTCATGTGCCAGGGAGACCAAAGTGACCTTATCGTCTAGAAACCTGGGCCAGGTTAATTGCTGATAGAGCATCAGGTGACTGAGGGTCAGGCCACTCCCTCGGCCCCACTGACTCTTGCTCTGTGACCCTCCCTGGGACAGTTAGACCTTGATCTAACACTTTAAAAATCTTCAAGAGAGTATTAAAAGACAGAATTTAGAAAGAACCCCTAAAGCTTAACCACAAACCATAAAGAACCCATCCCCAAGTGGACAAATGACAAGCACTAAGACTTTGATAATACAGAAGTTACAGTCAAACCCCAGATGAGATGACACATCACTTGCATTAGAGCCACTTGTCAACAAATGACAAATGCAGTAGACAGTTGGTATTGACAAGGATGAGGACCGGGAGCAGTGAAGACATAGCTATCAAGAAAGCAGTCTGGCAACTCTTCCAAAGAGCTCAGAACCAAATGAACATCTCAAAGCAATTCTAGTCCTAGATTCTGCATCACAAGGAAGATGAGCCAATGAAATAGGGCATGGAGTGGAGACCAAGGCAGTGAGGCCAGGGTCCCACTGTGTGACCCCATCCTCACCCCATAGGCTTCACTGTCTCAGTGTAGACTGGGTGTGGAAGAGCTGTTTTGTCTGCACACCTCTCCACTATGAGCTGACTGCAGACATGTTCAGAGGACATGTCAAATCTGGGCTCCAAGGGCTGAGGCAAAGCCCAGATTTTGCTATTCCATATATATATATATATATATATATATATATATATATATATATATATAATCCTATGCATGTACATTCATGCCTCCCATGCACATCCTCACACCCCTGGGATCAAACAGAGTAAGAATAGAATGTCAAGGACCTTGTGGTCCTGGGTGCTATATGAAAATGGGATGAACAAGTCATGGAGAACAAGCCAGTAAGCAGCGCACCCCCATGGCCTCTGCATCAGCTCCTGCCTCCAGGTTCCTGCCCTTCATAAACTCCTACCCTCAGAACTTTGGATGATGAACTGTTGGACGGAACTGCGAGTGGAATAGACCCCTTCCTCCCAAGTTGCTTTGGTCATGGCGTTTCATGGCAGCAACAGTGACGCTGACTAAAACAGCTAGTGAAGTCATGGATCTTAGGAGAGAGCCCACAGCACTTTACTAAAACAGAAAAATCCCTAAGGATACAGATACACTCTAAACAGAGGTCTCACCCTCATCAAAGCCACTCCTCTGCAACAGAAAACCACAACCAGTCAAATCGCAGAGGACGGGTGATTGCGGAGTGTCCAGCTCTAAACGCGTCATTTACACGCTGCTGCACTTCTAAGGCTCAGGAATGTGGAAGAAGGGGGGCGGGAGTGTAGGTGCTGGAACAGCGAGAAAGGCACGGGGAGACTGTATAGCCTAGAAATGACAGGGAAGTTTCGCTCGTGATACCGCGATAACACGGCTGCCTAAACAAGACCTGCACAATGACACCACCAGGGGATGTGCTAACACGGAGGTGGCAGGGCTGGGAACCTCACAGGCCCTCAAGCCTAGACACAGACACAGCAACTAAGGAATGCTGAGAACTAGAGAACTAGTCTTCCACAGGAATGAGGTCCCAACTGGTTAGTCTATATCATGTGGTCAGCAACACTAGATAGACTGAGCAAGGTGTGTGTGTGTGTAGCAATAGTAAAAGAAAAAGAGGCCACTGTTATTAAAGGAAATGGGGGGCACATGGGAGGGACTGGAGGAAGAAAAGGAAATGATATTAGATATATATAATAAACGGATATATATATAACTGTGTGTATATATACATATATATACGTGTGTATGTATGTATGTATGAATGTATGTATATATACAGGATTTCTCTGTGTTGCCCTGGCTGTCCTGGAACTTGCCCTGTAGACCAGGTTGGCCTCAAACTCACAGAGATCCACCTGCCTTTGCCTTTCAAGGACTGCGATCAAAGGCATGTGTCACCACCACCTGACTTTATATTTTATTTTTAAAAACACTAGCCAAGAGCCATCAGTGCCCAGACACTGGGAGAATGGTTTCCTGTTCTATTTAAGGAGCAGAGTAGAGGAATAGTGCCCCCAAAGAGGGAAGGCTGCTTACTGCTGTCTCCCCAAAACTCAGGAGCACCTCCTATGTCTCATCTCCCCTCTTCCACCAGCACAGTGGCTAGCGCCAGCCGGTGCCCGATACAGATGTGTGGAACAGCTGTGGTCTCACAGTTACCCCCGATGCACAGGATATGGGGACAGGAGTGCACTGGGAGCCACATATGTGGATGGCCAGCTTTGTCTATCGGTGGTTACAGGCTGACTTTGGATGGTTAGTGAGCTGACTTGACTAGGTGTATGTCGGCTTGACACAAGCTAGAGTCATCTGAGAAGAGAAATTGCTTCCATAAGATCTAGCTTACAGCCCGTATGGCATTTTCTGAATTAGTTATTGACGTGGGAGGGCCCATCCCATTGTGGGTGGTACCACTCTAGGAAGGCGGTTCTGGATGCTCTAAGAAAGCAGGCTGAGAAAGCCATGAAGGGCAAGCCAGGAAGTAGTACTTCTCCATGCCTCTGCATCAATTCCTGCCTCAAGGTTCCTGCCCTGACTTTCCTCAGCGATGGACTTTACCTGGAAGTGTAAGAGGAACAAACCCTTTCTTCCCCAGCTTGCTTTTGGTCATAGTGCTTATCACAGCAGTGAACCTTCTGAGACAGCCAGGTTGCAACTCCCAAGATGTAGTGCGCTCTCTGAAAGCCAGGTTCCTCTGAACTGCCTCATGAAGCTGCTGCTCCCAGCCCTGCCCACCAGAGAAGGTCTGCCCATCTGACCCTCCTGGTAGCCATGAGTGAGGCTCTTTACAGAGATAGGGGCCTGCAGCACAGCCTGGCCTCCAGGAAAATGATTTTGGCCGTTTAGTCAAAAACCCTCTCTCATGAGGGTCAGGTTCTGAGCTAGATATTCTCAACCGTGGATCCCTGAATGGGACCTACACTAGCCAGCTGCTGAGGTCCTGTGAGGCAGTAGGCTGGTCCTTCAGTTCCAGCCTCTACAGGAAGGTGTGGTCAGCTCAGGACTCCCTCTGACCTCCCAATGACTTAGGCAAGCCAATCCCGGGTCTGGTTTTCTACACACTCCCCAACCCTCAAGTCTGTCCAGCTAACACCTGCTGCTTTGCCTCAGTGCTAGGGATTACCTCCAACTAAACAACCTCGCCCCAGGTCCCTCTACAGGAGGTTGGTTACACTCTCGCATCTTCTTGTGGTAGTGGAGTTTTCCTGTACTGTTTGTGTTGAGAGGTGACATCTATTTCAGCCTTTATTTTTAAATACTTTCAGACAAGAGAAAGGAGAGAGAGATAGTGAATATGGGGGTGGGAGGCTCTAAGCATCCTTGTAGGAGCAAGTACGTATAATAGTTCGGTTTTTGGACAAAGTGTCCATTGTCAGCAGCTGGTGATAAAGCACATTCCGCTCACGCTGTGGGATTTTGAATCTGCTGGAAAGTATGAAATGTCTCCGGTTTGGGGTTTTTTTGTTGTTGTTGTTCTTTTGTTTTGTTTTGTTTTTTAAGATAGCTTTTTGCATCAGGGTCTCAGTACGTAGCCTCAAACTCCCGATCCTCTTGCCTGATTTGCCCCAGTGCTGGAATTACAAGTATACACCACCCCTCCTGAGAATGCTCAGTGTGTGGGCTCATGCTCATGGGAAAAGCAGAATGCAGAAGGGCATTTTTATTGTGCGCTTGAAAGGACAAACTGTGGGCACAAGTTACTGCTTGGATGTGCACAGAGCTTGCTTGGAGGTGTCTCTGCGCATCACCACAGCGTCCTGGGGAGATGTTGGGGGTAGGCTTTCAAATAGCTGTGTGGAGAGCGAAAATACACTTTTGAAGCTTGAACCACGGAGGACTTGCCAAACAAAACAAAACAAAGCAAAACAAACCATTAAGTTGGGATTTAAAAGCTGAAGGGAGCAGAGAACACAGAGACGATGGCACTGTCCACCTCACAGCCTCCCTAGGGGCCACCCAGGGTGAGCACCTATAGCATGCATGTCATTTGGCCTGAGAAGGGACATTTCACCCATACTGGGACCTCCTCCAGGCTCAACATAGCAACCACAGCAGAAGAAAGGAGAGACCTGCTTCTGTTCTGGTTTTCTCTCCTGCCCTACAACCATCTGCAATGTCTTCTTTCAAATCCATATGCTCAAGTCCCTGTCTCCACAGCACCTTAGAATATGACCTTGCTTGTAAATAAGGTCATTGCAGACGTGTTTACAAAAGTTGAGGGCATTCTGACATAAGCCCAAGTCCACTGTGCTAATAAAAGGGACACTGCAACACAGATCCACACAGGAGGAAACACTATGGAAGTGTGGAGGCAGAAATGGGTGGTACCCTTAAAGCCAAGGGCAGAGGGGCCTGGGTCAGAGTCTTTCCCAAACATCAGAAGGCACCAGCCCTGTCCATCTTCCTGTCACTCACGGCCATAGAAGCTGTGCGACAGGCTTTTACTGTTTAAACCATGCAATCCCTGGTGGATCTGCATCACAGCAGCCATAAGAAACTCATACATGGTGTTGATTTCGAACCCTTGAGCGAGTTCACACCTCACTGTCCTGGGCTCCAGGGTTCCTTTTGACCTCTGGGAGCCCCCACCCAGCTCAGTACTTACTGTCCTCGACCACTTTCAGAGGGAGCGCAGAGGAATGCGCCTTGGACACCATGGCTGAGGACCAACCAGTGAGCAAAGCTTGGCCTTAGCTGAGGAGATTCTCGCCTGGGGAGAGACACCGTCTGTGAGTGGGTGGTCTCCAAGCCCACAGCCCACCTTGACCCTGAGTGACTGACGACAGTTGGCATTTCTGCTATGTGGCCCTACCACTGCCTATCCTAACACAACCCTGCATCCAGGTTTGGTAGGATCCACTGTCTCCCTGCCTGGGCAAAGCTCAGCTGCCAGGATCTTCCTGTTCTTAGAACCCACCTGCTTTGGTCAGCCTGGGGCCTCTGTGCAGCCTCTCACCTGAGGTTAGGGGTAGGGTGGGGTGGAGTGGAGGCTTCACTCTTTAAATTCAGGCTCAGATGTCACTCTGGGAGACTTCTGCACCAGTGCATGTAATGACCTTAACATTTTCTTTATAGGTTCAAGTGGTTACCACTTAAAAGGCTTTTTTATTGCCCATTTCTCCCAGAATGCAAGCTGCATGAAAGCGAGGCCTGTATTCCACCAGTCAGAGTCCCTGACCGTATCCTGGGCATTCTTCAAATAGAAACAAGTTTTCCTGTGTGCAGAGGTTCAGCCAGAGTTCCGGACCATCGCCAGGAAGGGCGGGGGATGGAGCCCAGGGTTACTTGCAGTTTGAGCTGTCCCTCCCGGCCTCAGTCCCTTTAGAAGAGGAAATAGCACCCGGGAAGCCAGCCTCCAGACACCCTGAGCTCCTTCTGCCACGCCATGCCCTGGGGCAAGAATGCAGCAACAAGGGCTGGGTGCTTAAATTAGGCCTGCCATAAAGGACGTGGAAAAGAGCAAAAAGGGGCGCAGAGTCTTGCAAAGGGTGCTGGATCTCAGGCCGGCACCCCATGACCACCCCACCTGGAGTCCCCAACGCGGCCCCGCGCACACCCACCAGCCGCGCGCACACTCGGCTCGCTCCGAAGTCTCAGTCTGCAGACTGAGTTCTCAAGTCTTCTAATCCTGAACTGCGTTTAAAATGCCAAGGCAACCACTCTCACAAGAGCTGTGATGTCACAAAGCCCCGGAGGCGGGCCCGGGCACCCAGGGCGGGCGGGCGCAGAGTCCAGTGCAGGAACGGAACAGCTAAAGAGCAAAAGACCGAGACCGGGAAGAGACAGCCACCTGGAGTGAAGCCAAGTTTGGGTTGTTGCAGCCCCGGCAACAACCGACGCAGCCGTCTCCGCTACCCCTCCCCCAGATTCTCCCTGCCCACCCTTAAGGAGTTTGCTGCCGCTGGGGCACACCCTGGCTCCTCAGGGAATGTTTAGGTCGTTCTCCTGAATAGTTCACAGGCCAGGAATGTGTCAAAGACAATCCCTCTTAGCTTCTGGCTCTACTCAAGGTCACTGGCGCCACCCGACGGGTAGAAAGATGGACACTAGGCGGGAAGGCCAGGGGTGGGATTGCAGAGGCTGCTCTGGAGTTGGGTGGGTGGGGGATCCTTGAAACACCAGATGGCTTTGTAGTATTCTGCAGGGTAGTCCAGCCATGGGAGAACTAAGCAGAAAGTATTGTGGGCCCTGCATGTGGTTTGTCCCCTACATGGGGTTTTTTTTTTTGTGCAGTTGGTGTTAAATACCCTTTAGAAACAAGTTGCTCTCAGCACCCTGGACCTAGAGGTCCTTGCACTGTGCTCTAGAATCTCCAACAATCTGGCCTCAGCTTTCTTTCACTCTGTCAGAATAGCTGGGCAAACCACAAAAAAAAAAAAAAAAAAAAAAAAAAAAAAAAAAAAAAAAAACCCTGCAATTTAGGGTCAGCAAACCAAGAGATGCGGTTATGATTCAGTCATCCAAACAAATATCTCAGGAATGGTTTGTCTTTTATACCACGGGACTTTTAGGAATCTAGAGAAATAATCCACCCAAAGAGAAGGAAACAAACGAGGGTGCTACCAGTCCTGGTGTCGGAAGGATTGTCCCGAGCCTTCGGGGAACTCTCACAGGAACCGGTGTGAATCTAAGTCCCTAGAAAACACGCCTGTGTTAAACATTCTACAAGCCAGAGCTGGATTGCTGCAGGGCTAGAAACAAATTATCGTGGACAATACTAGTCCTTGAAATAGACTTTTGTCTTTTGTTTGTTTTTCAAGACAGGGTTTCTCTGTGTAACAGTCCTGGCTGTCTGTCTTGGAATTTGCTTTGTAGACCTGGCTAGCCTCGAACTCACAGAGATCAGCCTGCCTCTGCAGGGATTAAAGGCGTGCACCCCCACCAGCCCGGGGGAAACAGTCATGTATTGATCACACCTGTAATTGATGGAACATTCTTGCTATTGTTAAGTAACTCTCTTTGGAATGTTCTGACCCCTAAATTCCATCTGGAGAGCGTTTGAGGCCTGCAGCAGAGCCCCACCCCCTAGGCTGTAACCTGAGTCTGTGTTCCTGGGGCGGGGTGGAGGTGGGGGTGGGCACTCATTTGGCTACACAGTAAATTCTTTCTCCCTGTGAGACAGAGCCGGTTTCCTATCAACACCGGTGAGAGCAGTTAGCCAGACACACCCTGACTCCCACCAGCTCCTCTTGGGATCTTAAAGCGTTATTTAAAGCAGTGGTGTGTACTGAGCTCCTGGAAGTCCGAGAGCTAGCTTGGCAATGAGACATTCTCTGCTGCAGCTCTTGGCTATTTAGGTTAGAAAGAAAATCACCAAGAAGATGTGACCTGATATGAAAATCTAAAACAAATTTTTGTTTTTAGTTAGTGTGGGGAGGCACACGTGTAGAGGACAGAGAACAACTTACGGGAGCCTGGCTTGTCCTTCTACCCCGTGGGTTCCTGGGCTCAAACTCAGGCCCGCAGTCTTGGCGACAAGTGTCTCTGCCTGCTGAGATAGCTCTCCGTATCTGATTTGGAATGTTTAATCTTCGCCTAACATCATTGGCTGACAAAGGGCTTATTTCAAAAATTAGATGGACCAAGTGGGTGATGGAAGGCTCGGCAGGTGTGTGAGGCGGCCGCTGCGGCCATCCCTCTTCAGCTGTCTTCACAGAGCCCTCAGTGTGGGGGCCTGGCCGCCCCTACAAAATTCTCTTAAAAGCTATGTATGTCTAAGGCTTGAAAATTGTTCGCAGTAAAATGCTTTCGGAAAAGCTAGCGGTCTTACTAAAGAGGAACTGACCTATTTCCCTTCTTGAAAAGTGGACCGGTCCAGGGTCTTGAAGACAGACAAGCAAGAGGAATGGCGAAGAAACAGTCACAAGGCTTGGGGAACTCCCAGACCCTGCTCCAAGAGGGCCAGGGCACTAGGAGTTGAATGAGGGAATCAGGAGAGAGCCCAAATGTATTCTGTCAGGGCCACAGGTGCCTCTGTGTTTTCTGTATGCCAACACCTTCCCCCAAAGTCTCTGGCTTCCATGATGGAGGTTTGTCTTGGAGAAGGAGGTGACGCAGGACATCTCCACATGGAAAAGGTGTCACAGATCTATGAAGATGGCAGACACCTCCAAGGGGGCCAGATTTTACATCATCTCTATGGTTCTGGTTTTGTCACAGCAGACATATCTGATATTGCATGTCTTGGCAACTTCCTATGGGATGATGGGGTGTGGTCGGGGAATGTCCTTTATTCTGCTGGCAAGTTCCTACCTGTTTCTCAGGAGTCACTTGGGAGTTGCCCAAAGAAGCAAGCCATTTCCCTTGGCTCGCACTTGAAGTGACCAATTCACTTCAGGTGATAGAGGTGATAGAGGCCAATACCTTGCTCTGGCCCATCCTTATCTGCCTCCATCTATCAGACATTTCCTCAGCCTCCCTGCCTGTTGGTGACCTGCTAAGTCAAGTGGGTAGGGGAAGGAGAGCCAGCCCTGTCCCTTCACTCCTACCTTGTGACTTCTCTGCCGCCTCCAGCCTCAGCTGCTCTGAGTCTCCCACAGCCCAGCCACTGCTGCCCTCCAGTGTGAAAGTGACACCCTGTGTTGAACTTCCTAGAGGGCTGGTTTCTCAACACCCATTGGATGGAGGAGGGATAGCTTGGTGGCCCTAAGAGGAGACCGTGGCATTCATCGGGGCTGATTCTGAGTTGTTCTACATGACTGTGCAGCTTGGGATAAACGATGGCTCAGTTTTCTCATCTCTAAAATGGGAATAGTATAAAGGCTATGTGGTTAGCAAAAAGATGTCATCTAACAGGACCTCAAGTAAAAACTTATCTGCCAGTATAATGTGATGCCATGGTCTGAGGGCTGTGTCTGGCTAAATGAGGTCCCTGTGTAAGCCTGCTGCATACACTGACCTGCAGAGCATCCCAGCTTAGCTGCAGTTATTTTAATGAGGAAGCTAAGAATCTGAGACATTGAAGTCTTTTGTTCAAGGCTACACAGCTGAAAGGGGGCAGACTGAGACTCTAGCCCAGCCTGTTATCCAGGGACTTTGCCTCTTCCCCAAGCCTGAGAGGCGGGTTCTGCAGCTGCTGGGGAGAAAGCCTTGAGACTTCGAGTAGAAGATGAACCTGTTCATTCTCAGATAGCTTTCCTCCTTGTCCTGCCTATGGTGGTCAGCCTTAGAGGTCTGGCCTGTGGACCCAGGCGACTCTAGCCCCAGGTATGCTGTTCTCAGCCTACCTCCTAGATGTCGGGAAGCTTAATGCAACAGAATAGGACATTCTCAGCCTTTCCCAACTTCAGGGTTGGAGTGCCACCTTCCTAGGTCAAATGTCAAGTCCCAGAGTACTTGCATGGAATCTCTTCCTGCTCAGAGGTTGTGTGCTCTGGAGTAACGTTGTACTTTGTGGCAATCTGGGGCTCCCCGTGAGAAGCGTGGCTGCCACCTGAGCCATCTGCACTCTGCTGAAGACCTCACACACACCTCTCTATTTCAGAGGAGCCGGAAGACACTTCACCCCCTCCACCTCCAGCTCCTGTCCTTACTCCAGAGCTGTAATGACCCTGAGAGCGAGAGGTATACACCCTGCTCGCTTTCCATCTCAAGACAGCTTACAGATGGAGTTGCTCTCCTGCCAGTTCAGAAAGATCATTCAGTTGGACTCTGGGAAACATCTGTGAGCTTTGCCATCCATACCCCAAGCAACAGAGCTGCCTAGGGAGGGCTGGATGCCTGTGGGGAAATGTGGTGGTTTGAATGGAAATGACCTGCTTTAGGCTCACAAGGAATGGCACTATTAGGAGGTGTGGCCTTGTGGGAGAAGGTGTGGCCTTGTGGGAGGAATTGTGACTTTGTGGGTCACTAAAGGTGGCCTTGGGGCTTCAGAAGCCCAAGCCAGGCCCAGTGTGATTCTCTCTTCCTGCTGCCTGCAGATCCAGATATAGAACTCTTGGTTCTTTCTCCAGCACCATGTCTGGCTGCATGCCACCATGCTTCCCACCTCTGAACCTGTAAGTCAACTCCAATTAAATGTTTGCTTTTATAGGAGCGGCCCTGGCTGTGATGTCTCTTCACAGCAATAGAAACCCTAACTAAGACATGTGCTGAGGGCAGTGGGCATGCAGAGGTGGGTGCCTACTAGGTCACAGTGGTTGCAGTCCAGAGGCAACCAGAAGGTGGGCTTTCCCTGCTCTCCACAGAGCATCGGTTGACAAGGCCACTGCCAGATGCAATACCACCTTCGGCTTCAGAAAAAGGATAGATTGGAGAAGAGAGCAAGACAAGGGTGGAGAAGATGTCAGGAAGCAATGGCCACTGCTAAGCAAGAAACACTAGTGACTTAGATGACGGTGGGGCAATTGGGAGGGGGAGGGAGCTGGAAGGACAGGTGAGCTGTGGGCAGGGAAGGCATGGCACCTGGGCTGGACATGCTGCCCTAGGGGAACTGGTGGAAGTGTGCTGCTAATGAGGGCACCTGACCCTGGGGATGCTGGTGAGGACCTCTGACCCTGGGGATGCTGGTGAGGGTTCCTGACCCTGGGGATGCTGGTGAGGACCCCTGACCCTGGGGATGCTGGTGAGGGTTCCTGACCCTGGGGATGCTGGTGAGGGTTCCTGACCCTGGGGATGCTGGTGAGGACCCCTGACCCTGGGGATGCTGGTGAGGACCCCTGACCCTGGGGATGCTGGTGAGGGTCTGCACACATGAGTTCGTGGGGAGAAGAAGGTTGGAGATTTGGTCAGCTGCACCATGTC